ATGAAGATTCAAACTGCTGATGATGATGAACCCTCAAAAGAAACCTAACCATACTGCCTATTAGTATAAGTATATATACATGTGTGCATATATATGTGTGTGTGTGTGTGCCAATATTCATGTTACAATTATATGGTGTGTTATTTAGTTCACTAAAACTAGAGATCAATGGTGTATTATAAATAAAAGTAAAGATCAATGGTGTTTGTATGGTGGGTTTATTTTGATGAGAATATTATTGCAAATAATAATTTGCAAGTTTCAATGTATTTAAATTCTTTATCTTATTAAGAAATTAAATTAAATAAAAGTTATAAGTAGTATAATTAATATGCATTTTTTGAATTTTTCCAAGTAATTCATATATTAAACTTAATTATGATTCATGAATTAAATTAATTATAATTTATATATTTAAAATTTTAATAGTTGTATTAGTGTTTATATATATTCATACTTGAAGATTTATAAAAACAGGCACAAACTTAAAAATTAAAATTTTCTATTAGTCTCTCAGTTTTCTTCCTCCAAATTTCAACAAAATATTACCTAAAACTTTCTTATATTTTAAAATTTTTCCAACAAATATGACTTTATAATTAAGTATTCTTATTAACTATATATATATATTTAGAAGAATAGTTAAGTAAAATCAAACTATATGTTCATGTAACCACTAAGAATGTGTTTGGTTTAGTAAAACTTTAGATAATATGAGATTATATGTAACACTCAGAAAAAAATAAAAATAAAAAATTTCTTTTCATTTTTATTATTATTATATTATTTTAATTTATTTTATTTTAATTTATTCTAAATAAATATAATTTAATATTAATAGAATTTAATTTATTTTATTTTATTTTAATAGAAAGAATAATAATAATAATAATAAAAAGATGTAAAATTTATTTAGGAATTTAATTGAAAACAATTTTAGGGAAAAGTTGTGAAAATTTAGTTCTGTTAGTATTTTTGAAAGAAAAATCAGAAACTGAAGGTAAAACGCAATTTAAAAAATTGTGCTACGTCAGCTGCCCGATCAGCAGCCCCGGCCAACCAAGACGCATGCCAGGTGGCAGAGACGCTAACGCGGGAGGCCACGTGGGCGATCCGCTTGCGCGCAATCGAACGGCTGAGATCCGTTTCTGCGCATACAGATGGCACATATCAAAAACACACACGGACAGCCCAGATTGCATCGCACACGGACGGTTCAAATTGAATCGTGCACGGACAGCACAGATTGAATCGCGATGAACGGTTCAGATTCATTTCCTATTTAATCGCGATCGGACGGTCCAAATTAAAAGCGATGGATGGCTCAGATCAAAAGCAGATCCGCACCCAAACCCTAACTCTAGCCGCCAGAGCCCCTCGCCAAAGAAGATAGCCTAGCCGCCAGGGAGCCGATCGCTGCCACCCGCCGCCGTACCGGAGCAATTTTCGACTGTCAAACGAGGTAAAAATTCTACCCTTTGCTCAGAATTTGATTCTAAACCCACCTATGCCCAAATCGGAGCGAAAGTACCGGCCAATTGACCGAAAAATACTGCCGAAGCTCAGCGGCGCCGCCGCGGGGTGTCTCAGTTTTTGCCTCCGATGAGGCCCTTCCTGATTCCCGTTCGATGTGATTTTTCCACCGTTGTGATCACCGTTTCCTCCTCTACAGGTTGACCAAAGCAAAACACCCAATCGCGACGTGAGCCGGAGGAGCTGCCGCACCAGAGAGCCCCACCGCCGGTGAGTTTCGATTTTTCACATTTTTTCAGCCCACCGAGTGCCCTAAATGTGTTTTCTCATAGGAACCGATGCAAGTTTGGCTGAATTCGGCCGAAAACAGCCAATACGAGGCGGATCATCGCCGCGAGCGGTGGCACCATCGCCGGAGCACGGTGGAGCCGCTGTGCCGGAATTTCGAAATTGATTGAGTAGGCTCTGGGTCTGATTTTTTTGGTTATTTGGGACATGTGTAGGTACCGTAAGCGCGTTTCAGTTCCCGAAGAAAAATTCAAGAAACCCAGGGACCAACCGTAGACGCAGTGAAAATTTAGTTTTCAACGTCAAATCAAGTAAGCACCTTTCACCATATTTCCTATCATGGAATTGAAGTTTGAATAAATGATAATACTGTATTTTGTGCAAATTAAATAGATATGCATAATTAATTACGGTTACTAATGGAGCTCGAACCGGACATTATTATCTGTCGATTCCTGTTTGATTTATTTTACAGTTTAAATGCATTATGGTATCTGTTTTATCTATTCTATGGTTTTAAATGCATATATCACTGCTTACTTGATTTCTGTTTGATTTTGAGAATTTAAGATATGCTTGCTTTGTTGGATGTACGTTACTTGTTTATGTATTTATGTTTGAGTTGGTAACGGAGACTAAGGACAAATAGGAATGGGATGTGATTTGATAAATGGATAAGATGACAGCCTCACTAGATATCCTGGGAGATGGTGGACGGACCGGGTTCATAGGGAACCCTACCGTGAACGTTGTCTCATACCGGACGGAGTATGGAGACTTGGTCATTTGGCGCTCATACCGGACGGGGTATGAGGACAGTCCGCTTCACCCTCATACCGGACGGGGTATTGAAGTTTATTATTTTGGTGCTCATACCAGATGGGGTATGGGGACGGACTTGTAATTAAGATTATTTAAAGGAAATTGTTCATGTGTAGCGGGGACCCCTATGGATCCCCATGGATATTAGTAGGCTGGTGAAAACGAGAAAATGTGACAATCAGTTATTGTTAATGAATACGGATTTATGATATGTTTTATGTTATTGATTATGTATGAAATTGTGATCTGTATGATGTTATTATTTTTATATGTTGTTTTCACAGTTCTTCAAGGGTAAGAAAAAGGGTAAGTGATTTTATATTAAATAATTGTATTGGTTAAAATTTGTACTGTAGC